CCGAGCCATATAGCCCAAGGGCTTAAAACATTTTAAAAAGTAAACTTGTTTAGTAAATACGCTGACTTTAGTGGTAAAGGGAGACATCGAAAGAGACAGAGAGAGAGAGAGAGAGAAAGAGATGGCTGGAAGGGGCTGCAGAGTCAACTGCATGCATTAACTGGGCAACAGCCAACTGGCAATTGCTCTGTGGCCTAATGCGCAGCACAGACAGCAAAACTGCTAAAAACGGAATCATTTTAACGACTTTGAAATGCCCTGTAATTGGATTTTAATAATTGCTGAGAACTTTGTGTGGGGTCAACAGGATGTTGAGATTATTTAGAGATTAGTATTGCTATTTAATGCAGATAAATAACTAAATATGTTATATGGGCATATTTTATACAATCGGGCATATTATACAATTTAAACTGGAATAAGAAACTGCTAAGACATGAGAATAGACTTACTTCTTTATATATTATTCTGCCTTCCCAGAGAGAAAGAGATTTTAAGAATATAATATATTCACTCTACTTAATAACAAGAATATTATATATATATAGAATATTATTATTTATTATATTCGCTCCACTAAATAACAAGAATATACTCATCAAAATATATTAAAATAAATAAATATTTTTATTATATAAATGAAATATATATTTTATTTATATATTGTTTGTAAATACAATATATATAATTTTTTTTAATTTTATTTATTTATGTATATATATTTAATTTATTATTTTTTATTATATTATTCTATATTGAATTAAATACACATACCCAGAAGTAACATAAAATGCCTTCAACAAAGCTCAATCACTGCCATCATAACCGTCACTCCACCCCTCTACAGGGTATACGAAAAAAAAAGAGAATTTGTTAGCGGCGCTGTAATGCTCATGAAAATGGCAAATGCAAAGGAGTTGGGGTAGAGGGAAATGGTTAATTGGGCAACAAAGCCCCCTCCCTGAACTCCCGCTCAGTCATTATTTACGCCCGCCTCGCACAGGTTGATTGAGTTTTATTAATTTGTTGTCCATGACGACTGCTAATGATACGACAGCTAAAAGAGCTCTCATGCTGATGATGATGAACAGCCAGAGATGGGGTGAGAGAGAGAGAGAGAGACAGAGAGAAGAAAGTGAGAGAGAGGGAGAGACTTGATGCGATTATTACGCAAAGCGCGTTGCGCGCTTAGTCGTGGATTGCGGCTTGGTTTACATTGCGTATACGTCATGTCGGACAGAGCTTGACATGTCATAATTAGCGTGCGTGTTGCCGCTGCGGCTTGTTGCATGCAGTTAGTTTGTGTGCTGCATGCGCTCGTTGACTGCGACTCTGCTGCGACTCAGTTTGTTGCCATTACGATGCTCAAATCAACGTGATTTTCGTGTGAAAATCGAGGCGCATGCCCAGCGGTCAATTTGACTGTGCAGCCAGAGCCACAGCCGCTCCTCTCTCTCTCTTTCTCTCGCTCGCTCGCTCACTCTCTATCTATCCCTCTATCTCCTTTTTTAGCTTCGTCGTGGCTGCAACAGCAGCTGCAGGCATCGTATGTCTGTGTGTGTGTGTGTTGTGTGTGTGTGGGCTCCACCGGCTAGGGTCCACCTCCACATAAGTGAGTTAAACGCAATGAAAAGGCAAATATTCCCACAGAATCATATGAAATACTTTGGCTTACATACAAAAATTTTGCTCTTAACCAGGCGATGGCTTACAGCATTTTACCTGGACATTTGCTGTGTCACGTTTCCAGCTCATCGCCCCTCTACCTCGCCCTCGCCCTTGCCCTCGCCCTGTGTCGTCTGTCTGCCTGACATGCCCCGCTGGGTCTGCATGTAATCCAAGCTGCAGTCAATTTTTGTTTGGCCAAATTGGTTCTCATGCTGCGACCAGCTTACATAAACTCATCATGTCTGTCTCCTCCTCCGCCTCCGCCTCCGCCTCCACCTCGTTTCGATTGTTAACTAATTTGTCTTGTTTAACCTTTTTATTGTAGCAAAAAATGCGATATGGATCGAGAGCGCGAAAGAGATGCAAAGGGCCTCGAGCCGCGCGATTTATCCTCCACGGGCCGCATCTATGCTCGCAGCGATATTAAAATCAGGTAAGAGCTGGCTAGCACCTATCCCACCTGGACTCCAGCAATTTACACATTCGTGTATTCTTCTTCTTCTTTTTTTTGTGGTTTGTGGCACATTTGCAGCGCTTCCCCCACCGTTTCGCCAACGATCTCAAATTCCTCATCGCCCACACCGACGCCGCCCGCCAGCTCCTCTGTCACGCCGCTGGGCTTGCCGGGCGCGGCGGCGGCTGCAGCTGTGGCCGCTGCGGCAGCGGCTGCTGCCGGCGCCGGACCCGGTGGCGCCTCGGCCGGGGCCAGTTCCTATTTGCATAACCACAAGCCCATCTCGGGCATACCCTGTGTGGCGGCCGCATCGCGGTACACAGCGCCGGTTCACATCGATGTGGGCGGCACCATCTACACGAGCTCCTTGGAGACGCTTACCAAATATCCCGAGTCGAAGCTGGCCAAGCTCTTCAATGGCCAGATACCCATTGTGCTGGACTCGCTGAAGCAGCACTACTTCATCGATCGGGATGGTGGCATGTTTCGCCATATACTTAACTTTATGAGAAACTCAAGACTATTGATTGCCGACGATTTTCCCGACCTGGAGCTGCTGCTCGAGGAGGCGCGCTACTACGAAGTGGAGCGTAAGTATCCCCCATCTCCCCCTAACCGCATTTGACCTGTTGCTAATTTGGCTATCTTTCTCTGTCTCTCTCTCTCTCTATCATTTTATGGCCGTTGGCAGCTATGATTAAGCAGCTGGAGAGTATGCGCAAGGAACGCGTACGCAATGGCAACTATTTGGTGGCGCCACCCACACCGCCAGCACGTCACATTAAGACCAGCCCAAGGACGAGCAATGCGCCCGAGTGCAATTATGAGGTGGTCGCATTGCACATCTCACCGGATCTGGGGGAACGCATTATGCTGTCGGCTGAACGTGCCCTGCTCGACGAGCTCTTCCCGGAGGCGAACCAGGCAACGCAGTCGAGTCGCAGCGGCGTCTCCTGGAACCAGGGCGACTGGCGCCAAATCATCCGCTTCCCATTGAACGGCTATTGCAAGCTGAATTCGGTGCAGGTGCTCACACGGCTGCTGAACGCCGGCTTCACCATCGAGGCCAGCACCGGGGGCGGTGTCGAGGGGCAGCAGTTCTCCGAGTATTTGCTCGTCCGTCGCGTTCCAATGTGATAGGCTTCATGTCCAGGTCAACGTCTGCCTCAGCGTTCTGGGCACTGTGTAATCGTAATCTTTGTGCGCGTTGCGCACTAATTGCTTCCCCTTAGGGTGGCTTTTGGGGGGTTGGTCGACAAGGGGGTTTCGGTGGGCAGGGCAGGGCGTGCCGCGAGGGTGTTTGTTTCTTATATTTTTGCAAATTTCTAAAATCCAAATGTTATTTAATGTTTATATCAATTAGGTTTTTTGCCGGAAGTCAACCAGACACCCGCACACACACACGAATACACACACGCACACACACAGACACACATAGGCACACAACAACAATATTCGTGTATTTCTTTAGCATTTAAGATGAAGCCCAGGGCCCCCAGCACTGATTTGTTTATGGCCTAAGTTGAGTAGTTCCGCATAGTTCGGCATATTTAAAACTAGTTTCTGTTGTTTTTAAGTAATTCCCATAATTAAAAAATACTTTCGGTTATTTAATTGCATACAAAAAAAAAAACTAGCCTGATAGACACCTCTCGGGAAGTGTCTTGAGGCATATCTTATAATACATACACATATGTAGCTATCAAAAAGAAAGAAAGTAAAAGAAAATAAAAACTCAAACTAAGCAACTATATTGATTAAACTCACAGCAATAGTTTTGTAGTAAATAATTGATGTAATTGAACTTTTATGAGTGTAAACTATGGATTAACTTTTCAATATACATACATATACAAATACATATACATATAAATACCGACAAGCTCTACAATATGTGCAAAGTATAAATACTCAAATGAAAAAACAAAAACTAATTGAATAAATAAATAACAAAACCAAATTAAAACAGTTTGCGCCCACTTTTAGCAAATTCCATTAAATTGTCTAATTGCGTATCTTAAAATAAACAAGAAATAACAAAAACAAAAAGAATTTTAAATCAATTGAAAATCTAAGCGTTTTATTTAAATTCTCAACGGTTGAACTTCGCATAGGCGCCATCTAGTGTTCAATATATCTAACACTAGCGCCATCTTCTTAGCATAAAGTAGTTACATCAGCAATACAATAGATGGCGCCAACGCGTGGCAGTTGGGCTATTAATTTGAAGAGTCATTTAAACTTAACTGCTAAACTTGCTCTCTCACTTATGCTCTGGATTTTGAAAAGTAAATTTTGTGTCAATCAGCTGAAATTTCTGTTCGCCTGGTGCTTTGGCTGAATTCGAGTCCGAGTCGCGTGAGCTGAGCTCAGTGACGCAATTGGCGGCCCTAATGGGTATGCAATGAAATTTTAAAATTGTGAATTTTAACAGGAAGGGATTTGTATCTTTATCCCTTGCAATTACGCATACAAAATTAATAACAAAATGTCGCATTTATTTAAAAATCGTTTTATTTATTTCTATATATGAATATAGGTACGTGTAAGCTACTTGCAATTAAATTAAATTAAATTAAATTAAGATTTATATGTCCAATTGCATACGCAGCGTACCGATTCATTGTAAAACAGGCACGCATACAGATTAGTTGTTAGGCGTATATAGATACGTATTACAATCGCATTTTTATCGTTTAAATTATTTACATCGTTATCTTTGTTTTATATAGAGTAGACTAAGGCTTAGGATTAATTACAATTCAGTTGTAATGTGCCAACAAATATTCGAAATCTTTAGGAGAATTGCATACTCGATGATGCATGGCACGCTCGGGATTTATTTGTCTATTTTTGTGTTTATCGAAATTAAATTGATTTTTTATAGAAATTGGTTGAGGCCAAAATATACAAATGTATCAGATCAGCGTCTATAATCAGATCAGTGGGCCGCAATATCGAAAGAAGTTTTAAAAATTCTTAAACAGCTATACTAATTCCTAGGAACTATATCACAGTTGGAGACTACAAACTAAAAGCCTATAACTCTTAAAAGATACCTATGTCTATATATATATATATATGTATATAGATAAGATATTGTTTTGATACAACTGCGAACTAGAAATAACTTTAGCTTAGTGGGTCGTTCCTTGCACTACCAAAAGCCTGAAGCCCACTCGAATGGTTCCAGAGATCCGATTCGATTGTGATTCAAGTGCAAGTGCTGGTCGCGCAGGACGTCTAAGAAATGCACTATCGGTGTTTTTGATCTCGTAATTACATTGAATCTACAAGCGCTACATAAAATACACAACTAGTTCTCTACGCATCTAGAGTTGTTTGATATAGAGTGGGGCATATAGATATATATATATATATATACGGATAGGTCTTGCTAAGTACGCTACAGTGTAATAACGAGACTTTACAAATTCAAATGGGGTTTTATCTATGATAACAGCATTCAGAAGGCACACATCGACTGCAACTGGCGATGGCTTCACAAGGCACTTGGGTACTACGTGGCAAGATTGATATCCAATAAACGGTTTGTTACATTCTGGCAGTATGTATGTGTGTGTGTGGGTGTGTGGGTGTGCGGAGGCTACACTCGCGTCTCGGTGCTGCGACTGCGCAGCAATTGCAGCGGCTGCAGCTCCCGTTGCGTATCGTTGTAGTACTCATGATCGGAGCTGGTGGACTCGCTGCCCGGCATCTTCACCTCCATGCTGGCGGGCACACCTGCCACAGGTATGCCAATGGTTTGGGTGGGAATGGGCGCCTCGCCAGCGCTGAGCGCATTCAGCAGATACTCGGGATTATCCACGCTCACGGGCACCTGGCATTGGGAGCAAGATAAGTTTCAATTAGTATTCGATTCTCGCTGAATGCCTTTTCGATTCTCTACTTACGCCAATCACATCGATGTAGCCCGTGGCTGCTGCTGCCATGTTGTTGTTGGGATTGTTGCTGTTGTTGTTGTTGTTGTTGTTGGTGCTGCCATTACTCTGGCCAGTGGGCATCAGATAGTCATCCTCATCGACTGGCAGATCAAGTCGCAGATTGCCCACGCCCACTTCACGGGCATTGGAATCGGTTTCGTCATCCCCAACGCCCACACCACTGCCCGGATTCTTGTTGCTGGGATCCTTGCAGTAGCGATTGAGTTTGGGTATCTCGTCGGTGCCATCAGTGCGATGGCTGGGACCGGGCGCCGCCTTGGGCTGCAGATAGTCATCGGCCTCGACCATGGGCTCGGACCCATCGGTGGTCGGCGCCAGCTTGCGTATGAGATCCTTTTCGTCCTGGCTGGTGTAGGCGGGCAGCCGGGTGAACTTATCGCCGGGTATGGCCAGGTAACGGCCCGGATCGCGAGCGAACTCGGCAAACACGTTGGTCAGCTGCTTGAACGGCGGACGCAGATCGGCGTCCAGCTGCCAGCAGGAGAGCAGTGTGCAGTAAATGTCCAGCGAACAGATCTCGGGCTGCTCCAGCTTCAGGCCCATCTCGATGAGATCGGGTATATCCTTGGCCAGTATATTCTCATGTGGTCGCTGGCCAAAGGTCAGCAGCTCCCAAATCGTCACGCCAAATGCCCACACATCCGACTTACTGGAGAAGATGCGATGCCGTATGCACTCGAGCGCCAGCCACTTGATGGGCATCTTGCCACCGGCCGCCTTGTACTCATTGGAGTCCACGCTGAGCAGCTTGGCCAGGCCGAAATCCGTAATCTTCACCAGCGACGGCGTCTGCACCAGGACATTACGTGCGGCCAGATCGCGATGCACCAGCCGCCGCTCCTCCAGGTAGGACATGCCCTTGGCTATCTGGGTGGACCAGTTGAGCAGCGCCTTGGATCCGATCTTGTCGCGATTGTTGCGCACATAGTCGAGCAGGCAGCCCAGCGGCATGAGCTGCGTGATCAGCATCATCTGCGAGGACATGCAGACGGCCAGCAGCTTGAGCAGATTGCCGTGCTCCACAGTTGCCATGGCGTAGGCCTCGTTGAGGAACTCCTGACTGGACTCGGCGCCAGACGTCTTGAGCAGCTCCTTGATGGCAACGGGTATCTTCACATTCTCACCCTCCGGCACCCAGACACCCTTGTAGACACGTCCAAACGCGCCCATGCCCAAGACGCCGCCTTTGCGCAGTTCCGCATCCTTGACGATCCGCAGCTTGCTGAGATTGGCGCCCATGTTGGAGGGACGCAACGGCTCGGAGTCTTCGCAGCCGAAGAATACTTTGGCCAAGTCGTCGGTCTCCTTCTTCTCCTGCTGCTTCTGCCGGCAGATGTAGATGATCACGCAGAGCACACAGATCACAGGTATGAACACGGCCACAAAGATGATGATGATCATGTTCACATTGAGGTTGGCGGTCACCTTGGAGCCGCGTGGCGGACTGGACACGCAGTGCGGTCCAATGAAGTGCGATTGGTAGTTGACATGCGGCTGCTCCGCCGGGCACTTGGAGGTGCAGTTGAACATGGTCGAATTGTCGTAGACCTCGCCCTCGGCAAACACCTTGAAGTTGACACAGGCCAAGCAGTCCTCCGCGCCGGGACCGGTGCAGCCCTTGCACTCCGGATGGCAAACGAAACACTCGCGCCTCTCCTCATCCGCATAGTGATCGCTGGGGCACTCGTCCTCGCACTGCTCCAGGCGCTTGTAGCGCGCGCACTTGGAGCAGACCTGCAGATGGAAGCCATAGTTGGTGCACAGCTCGCAGCGCGGATGGCACTTGCGACAGATGGCCTTGCCGGCCAAGGGCTTGAGCGAGCCCTGCTCCTGCGGATGCACATACTCCCAGTAGTAGCCGTCGGGGCACTTGTCGTCCTTGCGCAAGCAGCGCTCCACCGTCGCATCCGCATTGATGATGGCCAGATTGCACGTGTTGCAGGCGCCGTGTCCAATCGTATTCTTGGGTCCCGTGCAGCCCTCGCACGTCTCGTGGCACTTGCGGCAGATGCCAAAGTCCGCGTACTTGTCATCCGGACAGACGGTCACGCAGTGCTGCTCGTCGCGCACATGCACGCACTCGTCGCAGTGCTCGGCGCCGGGGCCGGAGCAGGTGCGGCACTCCGGATGGCATTTCTTGCAGGTCTTCGAATCGAACTGGTAGGTGCTGTAGACAGAGAGAGAGAAAGAGAGAGAGGGAGAGATGTTAGTAAAGAGTTAAGGCAGGCGGAATCACTTGCTACTCACTTGGAGACATTGCGACAGTCGGCTATGCAGGTGCCATTGTAGTTGAAGCTCTTGCAGTTCAAGCACTGCTCCGGCCCAGCGCCCCAGCAGCCATCGCTGTTGCATTGATCCGAACAGACTTGACCCGTTTTGCCTGCAAATATAGAGAGTCAGAGTTAGGCACTTTGAATGGCTTCAACTGGAGAAACAAATATACTTACGACACTCGGAGGTATTCAGATTCTCATTGATGAACAGCTTCTGGTCGTTGGTCTTCTGAATCGCGGCCCAGTGTATGCTGCTGACGTAGCAGAGCTGCGTGTTGTGCTGTATGACGATGCTGCCGGAGTTGATGCGCTTCAGACTGCGCAGCTCCAGGCTGGACAGCGACGACTTGACAATGGCCAGTGAGGCAAAGTAGCTCTCCATCAGCTGGCGACCGTGAATGACCTCCAGGTTGCGAAAGTAGGAGAGATTCTTGAACTGCGGATGCACTCCCTCGATGTTCAGATAGCCGGTGATCTCTTTCACCGTGGAGAAGACTTCGAGGCGATCGGGATGCATGGGTATATAGCGTGCGCCCATCGTGTAGTTCGCATAGATGTCCTGATAGCCCGAGAAGGTCTGGTCCAGCACTCGGATGTTGCCCTCGATCACGGTGCAGTTCTTGAACGAGTCAATGTTGCCGGAGTGGAGGACCGCAATGCCGGGGCAGGTCTTGGGGCAGGGTCCGTTGCAGGCGACGCATTCGCCATCCTTGGCCATCTTGTCCGAGGGGCAGCTGCGCACGCAGGCGCCATTGTCCTTCAGCAAGTGTCCCGGACACTCACGCACACAGGTCGCGCCATAGGCGTACTTGCCCTCGGGATTGGCCTCCAGCTCATAGTTGGTCGGATTGTATTTGCGCATGGGCGGGCACTCCTCCTTGCAGACGCCGTCATCGAAGAAGTTCTTGCACGCGATGCAATCCTTTTGCGTGGGCCCCGTGCAGCCGCCGGCGCAGAACAGGTGACAGCAGTCCCGCGGCCCAGAGCCGAAGCAACGGCCCTGGGCACACTGCGGCGCACAGGTGATCTTGCTGAACTTCTGGCAATTGTGCGCTCCCTCGCCCCAGCAGGCGCCGCGCTCGCACGACGGATGGCACGCCGGGCACGTGCGTTCCGCGGCCGTAAAGGTGTACGTGTAGTTGTAGTCGTCGTTGGCGCCCGACAGGATCTCGCGCCACACAATGGAGCGCGTGTGGCACAGATTGTAGTTGTTGAAGAACCCAACCCAGCCAGCGAGTATATCGCGCAGCTCGGGCATCTCCAGCGTGTTCATCTTCGAGTATGTGGCAAATAGGGCATATTTCTCCTCCTCAACAGTCAGGCTGAACAGCGTGCGGCCGCGTATGATTTGCAGTCTACAGCAGAGACGGAGACAGAGACGGAGACAAATGGGAATTTAGATCTGTGGCAGCTAAAGAGCCCTCAATATTATGCTACTTACTTGGGAAATATCACATTCGTCACATCCACATGACTGATCAGTATATAGCCCGTTACCTCGCGTATGTTGGCCAGGAAGCTCAGGTCCAGGTTGGGATCCTGCAGCCAGGTTAGCTCCAAATTGCCATCGACATAGGTGCAGTTCGTGTAACGATCGCGCAGATTGCGATAATGATGCTCTCGATTCGAGGGCACAGACAGACGACTCTTTGTGCCAATGCAAACTGTAAGCAGAGGGAGAAAGACAGAGAGAGAGAAAAAAAGATGAATTAGTATTTGAGTTGAAATTAATGAAACAGTTTTCTATTATATCATTATTAATAGTGCTTATGAATAAACATATATTAATTATAATTAATAATACTCTAGAAACAGATTTCTTTCATGGGAAAATAAAACCTATATTTAGATGAATAAGAGAAAATGATGAATGTATAGACTTGGCTTGAGAAAGAGCAAAAAAAATAATAAGACTAAGGGGTTTTAAATATAATAATTTATAGTTTATATATGATTTTGATTGAGCAATACTTTTTTTTTTTTAAATAGATAGTTCAACAAAAACTCAGCAGTTTATTAAATTATTACTATCTGTTTGTAATTAAATTAAATTAAATTAAATTATTACTATTTATTTATTTATTATACGATATTATTATTTAGATATATATTTCTCAACTCCAATTTCAGCAAATATCTTTTATTATTTACATCTGAAATGCATATACCCCATCTAAAGAGTACTCAAGTTAACTTTCTGAAATTATTAAATTAAAGACGATTTAGGGCGTCAGGTGAGTTAGCACAGGGAAAGTAAATACATTTCACGCTTGATTTCAGCGGAACATTGGGCTGTGTGTGGGCTGGACTTAATTGCGAGCCGTTGTCTAATTAGACGAAGGTAGGTGTTGAATTATGTGCTACAGGTGAATGCAAATGCTAAGAAATTATAAATTATAAATTAAAATCAAAGACGAAATTTCATGTAAATGATAAACGGAAATAGCTAGAGCTGGGAGAGGGCAAGTTTGTTGCCTAAGTCTTTTGTATTTAATGCTCGGAAGCAATGAAAAAAACAACAACTTGAATAAAAACTTATAAAACAACAACAACAACAACAACAGCTAGCAGCAAGTGGGCGCTGCTGAGTCGCAGTTCAGTTGGCGTTTTCAATAATTAGCAGCCCACGCAGACTCCGACTCAGACTGAGAGACAGAGATGGGGATGGAGACGGAGACGGGGCCGACTCCAATGACTGCTGTTATCATTAGTCAGCGACCTGTTTTAGCTGCCAGCAGAGTCAGCAGACCTCGTTCGTACATCTTCCAGCTGCCATGGCCATTGATTTGCATGGCCTACTACTAGATGATTATGTGTATGAGCGCAGAGATTCTATGAAAAGGGCTACGTGGGTCGCCGCGCTCGTCGTGTGGGCCGCAAAAGTGTGCCATGTCGCAGTTGGGGCTGGAGTTCGTAAGACATAGACACCCACTTGCAGCCAGCCAGCCCACCACTTGGGCACGCCCACCTCTGTTACTCAGCTAATTATCAAACGGAAGAAAAGGCATGAAAGAGACGAAACAATCAAATGAAAAAAATTATCGATAGGCCATAAATATTGCGCATTTTATTGATTTCAGTTCGTGGAAAGGCACGAACAAAAAAAGCGGAACAACGGCCGAAAAGAGTTTTAAAAATAATTATGAAGAAAGATATTGGATGCGAAAATATTGGCAGAAAATATCGCCAGAAATGCGAAATTCTTGAGTTGCTTGGGAAACGTAAAACGAAAGACAACAACGAAAAAAAAAAAAAACCAAAGAGAAGAAGTTGAATGCCTGCAGTTATGCGGCGCGATGCATGCCACACTGGACACACTGCGGCTTAAAGGCAACAGCGACAGCCATAGCAGAATAAAAGGTGAGGCTGCAGTTGACATTGGGACGCGGCGCACATTGATCAAAAGCGGCTGCTGGCAAATCGAAGCGCAACAATTTTCGTACAAATTCTTTGGCTTTGTTTTTGTCCTGCTGCTGCTGTTTCTGTTGCTGTTGCTGATGATGATGCTGGCACGACGCAGAGCTAAGCGAGCGAGAGAGGGAGGGAGAGAGAGAGAGCGAGCCGCTGGCCAGTTAAGGCAAGGCTGGCCACAGCCTCCTCGCCTTTAACTCCACTTCAGCCATTTCTCATACCGAACGCCGCATGCAACCCTTTTCAAGCCGCTTTATCGCGCACAATTTATCAGCAGCGTTTTTCATGTTGTGCTGCTCCTTGCCTGAAACCTAAGACACGAACAGTGAACAGTGAGCAGCATCAGCAGGAGTGGGGAGCGGCTGGGGCAGGGTTTCTTGTGAAATGCTTGAGATGTTGCATATGCGATTTTTCTTTTGCGCCGCGGACACGCCCGCATTAACTCGGTATGCCTATGTGTGTGTGTGAATCCCTCTCTCTCTCTGTGTATGTGTGTGTGTGTGTGTGTGGCAAAAAGGCTAATTTGTAATCCTTAGGCTAAGTGTCTCGACGCTAATGAGCGACTGTCTGCCTCTCGCGCTCTCTGCATATCTGTCCACGTCCGACAACAAATCAAAGTCATAATTCAAGCGAGATGTGCTCATTAAAACAAAAGACTTAGGCAACGAACTTGAATGTACTACTGGCCAAGAGAGGCTGGGCTGCGCCGGGCGAGAGGGGGTCGGCCTGGCTGTGGGGTCAGCCTAGCAACGCTCATTGTATTTGTTTATCGATTGTATTTGTTCAGCCATCAACAACACGACGACGACGACGACGACGACGACTCGATTTCAACTTCGCCCTCTGCCTGGCCCTAGCTACGCCTGCTGCCCCCCCGGTCTCCGTGCTGTGCTGACGCGCTGATTAATAGACCCAACCGCATTCCAAGCTTTGCCTCGCCGTGCTGACTTTCTAAATATTGTGTTGATTTTTTTTTTCGAATTTTTCTTCAACCTCAGCTTCGATTTTTTTGCTGCTGCTGGTGAAAAGGCCACAAATCGAGAAACTCAGCAAGAGAGAGAGAGAGAGAAGGAGAGAGCGGGAGATTGAGGGGCGGGACGGCATTTCGTGTGGCAAGTCAAACGGCTGCATAATCGATTTGAATGCTGCAACTGCGGCGACTAGAACTTCAGCTTGTAGACACGAGCGTCGTCTCTATGCGCGCCACAGACTCCGAGCCAACAGCAACAGGCGGGACTTTAGACTCGAAGCGAGGCACAGCTAACATAGCTAGCACAGCTCACACAGCGCGCTCTTCGAATCTCAGTTTCAGACTCGCTTAGCCGGTTCTGGCTGCGTGCTGTTCTTGCTGTAGTTCTTGTTGTTGTTGTTGTTGTAGTCGCTCACGTTTATGTGGCTTGCCCCTCACGCAGCTCTCTACAGCTCTACCTCGACATCATCATCTTCGTCTGCTGCTTCTTCTGTTCTTTTTCCCTCTAGCTGTCCGTCAGCTTGTCTCTCTGTTCGTTCGTTCGTCCGTCTGCCCGTCCGTTGTATTCCCTCTGTTTGTGTGTATTTTCATTTCGTGGAAAAGATTTTTAACTCTGTTGGCCATACGAACCATCTGGATTGCCGAGCGCTCTTCGCTTCTACAACCTTTCCCTCAGGCAGACAACAACAACAGCAACAACCATAAAGGCCATAGATTTTTGTTGTAAAATAACAAAAGATTTAAAAGGGCATTAAGCATGCTTTGTTTTTTACCTACACCGAATCTATGTTTGCTCAGCATGTCCCCTGCCCTGCCCTGCCCTGCCCTGCCCTAGCCCCAAGACGTCCCATCGAACTACGCAGATTCTGATCAAAAACCCAGAAAATAAAAAACAAAAATTACAAGGCGTCAGCCGTTATTGCCTCAAGCTGTTGCCCACAATCTCAACTGAGGCAAGTACATTGATCTCTAAGCAAAATACAATAAAGACCACGGTGAAAGTTCGTCATAAATCGAGCCAGAGCTCTATATACTCTATATATATACATGTATCTCTATGTATGCAGATGCAGCGCCTGTGATTAGGTGTCACAGACTGGGCGCCTGTTTGTTGTTGCTTTTTGTTTTTTTTTTTTTTTTGCTGTGGCAACAACAATTTTTCTATTGGCCACTGCCGCGCGCAGTTGCCACATAAATAATTCATAACTGTTTTGCGACAATTCAGTCGCGGCACGCGTTCAATTTACAATGAAATTGTGTAAACGCGCTTAATAAATTCATTTGCGACTGGCCATTAAATGCACGCAGCTCATTACAGCCGCTGTCTATCTCCTCCCATCCCCTCCCTCTCTCTCTCTCGCTCAGTCACACTGTGTGTTAGCCACAAGCCGAGCTGATCTGGCGCTTGGTTACGTGCGCGGATTTTGCAAAATAATTCTGCAATGCGGCAACTTTCTTTCATAAGTTGTTGTTGTTGTTGTTGTTGTTGTTGTAGTGATTGTTGTTGCTGCTCTTGTTGTTGTTGTTGTATGTATATTCTATGTCGTGGCATCACGAAGACAAAGGCAAATAAGCGCAACGAGCCAAGCGGCCAAGCGATCGCGCCGCAAATCTTTCGCAGAAAACGCTGCAAGCGCATCTTCAGCAAATTTTGTTGCGAGGCGGCAATGCGGCAGATCATGCAACAACAAAGCACCGACAAGGCCTGCTATTGGCCGAAAACAGCAGAAAGCAGCTAAAAAGCTAAAGACCTCAAGCCACAAAATGCTGGCCCTGGCTGCGTTGCTTTGTTGCCCATTTCATGTTCGATGCGCGTTCATTTAGTTTTGAGCACAACAATTGGGCGCAGGTCGTGCCGCACGACAACAACAACAACAACAACAACAACAGCTATAGTAATAGCAGCAGCTACAATGAGAGTTGCAGGCAGAAGCAACAGCCGCAGCAGCAGCAACAGCAGCAGCAGCAGCAGCTAAAGAAAAGCTAAGCAAACAATGCTGCCCATTAGATAAGCCTGCCGATTGCGCTTTGTGCAAAGTCCAAACAGGCAAAGAGACAGAGAGAATGAGAGAGAGAGAGAGAGAGAGAGAGAGAGAGAGAGAGGCAGGCAGCATCAGCAGCAAAGGCTGGCTTAATGAGCACGCCCTGGCGCTATTTTTGGTGCGAGTTCAATATCTTGGCTCAAAAGCATTTTCAGCTATTTTTAGGCATAGAATCAAGCCAACAGCAATAACAACAGCAACAACAACAACAACAATATTTTTATACGTGGGCTGCTGCGAGTCCGCGGAAGCTGTTGCTGCTGAGACTGAGGCTTCGACTCAGACTCTGACGCTGACTGCTGCAAGTTTCGAAATCGAAACGCCCACACAAAAAGAGAATACACAAACACACGTGCACATATACACAGACACATACGTATAGCTATAAACTAGCTTTTAGGGTGGACCACAGAGGCAAGACGCAAAATGTTTGTGACCAAAGTGCAGCAGCAATTGAAAAATAAAGAAAAAGTGTCGTAAAATGTGTAAGTACAAATAGATGTGCATGTGTGTGTGTGAGTGTAAGCAGAGAGAATGAGAGAACAAACAAAAGAGAACAGAGAGCGCAGGCTCTGCTAAGAGAACAGCGCAGTCGCAGCAGCCAGCGCTTAGCTGCAATTGCTTGCAACTGAGGCACATTTGTGTCTGTGTGTGTCTGTGTGTGTGTAGATTTAGAAAACCAGTATTTCTATAAAGACTAGGTACTGCGCACTCTACACCACAGTTGACTAACAGCAACAACTAAACTGGCATTAAAGTTCAACATATATAAGAAAAACAACAACAACAACAGCAACAACAATTCGCAACTGACGATTTTTCTTATATGATGTCTTAATCAGGAATTATAGAAAATGCTATGCAAAGTAAGCAATGCGCACACAGCTACAGCTGCACACAGACTCAAGCTAGACTCTCACACATACACTCACTCACTCACACACACACACACACACACACACACACACACGCTCACACTGTAAGAGTGAGCGCGTGCCTGACGCTGTAATTAGCCAGAGCTTACACCATTTTATGGGGCTAGCTCTCAGTGGATGCTGTTGTTGTTGTTGTTGTTGTTGCTATGTCTCCACAGGCACACTATGGAATGTGGTTTTTCAAGCAACAAAACACATACAGACACACTGTTAGAGCTAGGCAGGCAAAAGCCAGCTTGGGAGACCTTTCTGTTCGGCTATAATAGGCGCATTCACTCTCAAAATCTTTTGGACCAAGCTTTGTTTGGCCTGGCCAAAAGGCATTCAAGTGCAGCCCGCAAGCGAGCAACAACAAAAAGCGAAATAAAAGGTAGACAAAAGCAGGAAAAACAAGAAAAGCTATAAAAAAGTTAACATCAACTTTAACGTTTTAAATACTTAGGGAAATTATGACAAAGTTGTACCAAACATGTTTTTTTTTACATTCTTTTTTTTTCTTTTTGCAAATGTAATTTGATTTTTAAACAGATTATTTAACAATTAAAAATGTTGCTTTATTCGATTTAGTCCATAAAGGGAACAAAGAATAGTTCACATAGAAAAGACAGATATGGACAACAAAGTATTCTTTATACATATATGGAAAGCACTCTTCTCAAGCCTATTGAAGACAATCCTGAATAAACAGACTTTTCTAGTTTTGTCTTTTCATTTCTATAAAATTGTAAATACTATGCGATTAATAGATATATACATAAATTTTATATATTTTTTGTTAAAAGATAATTCTATTTAATATATGAGAAATTTTTATCTAAAGAAATAAAATGGCATAAATTTAGCAACATAATGTAACCAGTATTAATTTAATATCCCAACATTCGTTTACTGTTAAGCTACATGCGCTGCAATGCAATGCTCTTTTCAGTTCTGTTAACAATAACAGAGCTATGTAAATGCGAATTGAGCATGTAAACTTTTTGCTTTGGATATTTTATTTGCACTTTTTCCCATTTAAAAATTTCCCCATTGTGACAACTGCTGGCTATTCATGCGCAATCTTAAATAAACTTCCTTAATAACACTTTTATTCAACAATACCGCCAATTGTCCTCGAACAGCAATGTCTCCCCCTCATTGTTACTTTTTGTGCTACAAATTGCCTTGATTGGGTACATAGTGTTGTATGTTATTCCAACTGGAGTTGCACGTGCGGCTCGGCTCGGCTTCACATTTATTTGCATATTTGTTGCAGCTGTGCTTATTTACAACCACAACGAATTGTCATAAAAAAATAACTGAAAGCGAGTTTGTAGTGGTGGAAATTATAACAATATCTTATATAGTGGGCAACTAGAAATTCAACAGAAATCGGAAATCGGGCCCAAAGTCAATTCAATCGTGTGTGAATTCCCCAAGGGTAGGTCTATTAAATGAATAAGGCTTATCGGGTCAATATTATTGCTCCATTTCTTATCTAACCATATCCGGCGAAGAGCGAATTAAATCATTATAATATTGTGTGCTACACATCCATACACACACATACACACACATACATACAAGCTCGTGTGTGGCTAAAGCCATTAGCATAAGGGCAACTCGCGATAGCCCCAACGCGGCTAAGTAAACATTTGTTCAATTGCAAAGATGGGGACTACATTTATTAATTTGCAGCTACAAGATCAGTGAATATCGACAACGACAACGTGGGCAACGTGCGGGGAGTGAGGGCTGTGCAGCTTGGCAGCAGAAAATTGTTAACTTATTTGCCCGCCAAATGCAAATATTTGCGCCAAAGTATTGAGCAAACAAATGTTTTGCTCAACGATACAAACAAAACAAAAAAATTAGTACGTTTTTTTTTTTGTCTATTAATGTTTGGGTAGTGGAGGAATATGGAATATTCTATGAACAAAATTATAGCTAGATAAAGAGAGAGAAGGAAAAGAAAGATTAAAATTTTTAGAAAATAAATAACCAAAATTGAGTTAAAGTTCAAGATGGCAGATGTACATATATGTATGTATATTAATATAAGTACTTGGTTAAAATAAATATACATATGTATATTCAGAATAAAACTTCATGTAAAATCATTAAAAATCCACAAGCAGAAGCTCTATAAATTTATCATAAGACATATAAAGTCAACAGCTCGGCTATAGATTGCATAATACTTTTTGCATAATAACTTGATCTGGGCAATAAAATAGCTTAAAATATCATAAAACATGAGCAATACTATAGAGAATAGTCTCTGATAAAGACTCAGTAAATGTTTATGGCTGCCATTTGGCAATCAACTCCGCATGAGTAGCGTATGAAAACAGCTTCAGATACAAGTTTAGAGACAGCTAATAAACATATTACAAACGTGACATAAATGGCTATAAATATGCTTACAGATATTTGGCTAAATGTGCTTAACCGAGACCTGAAGTCATTTTGGGCTCTGGCAATAAACATTTGTTATGTATGTTAACATATTGAGCTGCCCTCGACTGTTGACTGTTATGGGTTCTCATTAATTTTCAAGCTGGGCGAAAAGCAAATGCGATACTCGCGAATCGCGTATTGTGAATTGTGAATTGTGAATTGCGATACTTGCGATGTCAACAAATTGAGTCGCCATTTTAGCTGGAAATTGTGTCGCTCACTTGATTGCCGTTGTTGTTGTTGTTGTTGCTGACAAAGAGAAATGGCCAATATACTTGAAAATGCAACAACAATAAGCGCAACAACAAAGTTGTCAATGAGCCATATGCTCAACAAGCAGAGCTAAATACAAAAAACGATTTCAGTTTGTTTGTAATTTTCGAGTTGGTTACGAAATGTGCCCCAAAACAGTAGAAATTCTTAAGAGGGTTTTGTGTTTGTAGAACGGATTGATAATAAAACAACAATAATAAGTTAGTTATAAGGCTGGGGGGTGGAGCAGCGGCAGCTGGGTCGAGCGCCCAAGTCAAGAGAGCACCGGCCTCAACTGGGCACAGGTAAATGCTAAAGGTACGAAGTGCCAACAAAAGCAGCCCAAAAAGTGGAACCCAAACTGTAACCGAAATCAAACATTGGTTGCAATGCAGCACGTACGATAAGATAAGCATAGCTGCATATAAACCATATAAACACACACACACTCACACACATTGAGATACTGATACAGATACAGATACAACTGTGGCTACAGCTACAGCTACGTAGTTAGCTGCAAGTAAATACAAGTATTTTTTTTGGGTATTTGTTGTTGTGTTTTTGAAGTGGATTTATTCGGGCCAAATACCTTGATATGATTATGATATATGGGCACGCAAATCTACATAAACACCAGACAATCAAACAATCATGATGGATGCACATGTGTGCATACATGACTGATGATCTGTGAGCGAGAGTGAGAGACAAAGCTCAAGACGACGATTGTCATGAAACAGGTTCAACTTGTCGCTTTGTCTTCTTATTGTTGCCATTGTTGTTATTGTAGTTCTACGAAAAGCCAAGAACGCATTCAATTAAAAGTGAGGAAAAAAAAATTAATTTGAAATATCCATAGCCGACCTTGGAGTAAGTTGTCTCTTTTTCTCCAACTGACCGAGTCGCTTAACAACAATAATAGACTACGACAAAAGGTTCCGCGTTGAAATCCCTAGAAATGCTTGGTAAATCTGTTTCTTAACCATGTCTAGGCATGACTTTAACTAATACTTGGATTCATAGAGTGAAATGTTGAGACAAATATATCAAAAAGCAAAGTGGGCTCCAAAGGTTTGTTTGTCTACTTTAAGTCTTGATGTGAAATTTCAATTTTCACGTTATGTCTGTTCCGAGAAATATCACGTATGGCTTAAAAGTATATAATCTAGCCAGAGCTCTACCTTATTTACTTGATTTTTATATATGTATATATATTATTTATATTCGCCATGTTGTATTTTGCACAATTCCATATCCAATTGATATGATAAAGTTATAGCAGATAAAGCAACAGAAATTCTGTAATTGGGTATAGTATTATATCATCTAAAAGCCCAATTATACAAAATAAGTATCAACAAACATATATTAATATATTTGTAAGTAGTTCCAGCAGTCTAAGATCAGCAATCAGACCAGAATTCATTTGCTTTATATTCCTAGAGGATCCACATTAACAGCAATGCACTTAACAGCATAATGTTAAAGTGGCTTTAGCATGCCTTCATAAACATGTTATAATTCCCATCTCATATCATTGTTTGACACTTACTTTTGCCCTTGGGAAATGTGTCCTTGGTGCTGTCGCCGATGGAGCTGCCGCTAGCGATGAGGGCAGCGCTGCTCGCTGCCGCTGCCGCCGCTGCCGCCGCTGCAGCCCGCTCGTGATTGCCACTGCCGCTGCCGCGATTGCGTGAACGGTTCGCATTGTTGCGATAAGCATCCTGATGGCGCTGCTTGGTGTTCTGTCGGCCATAGCGATCCCTGGCCGCCGAGACGGGCCATGTGCAGATGCAGTGGACCAGCAGCAGCAGCAGCAATGGTAGGTAAAAGCTGCTGCCGCGGCGCCTGAACAATTTGAAGATGCGCATCTCACGGGCAACTTATTTGCGGATTGAATCTATGACGTCTGTGACGTCATGAGTGTGTGTCTATGACTGATTCAGAAACGGGCCACAACACTTGCAGCGTTTTGGCTGCTTTCCGTATTCTGCTCAACACTTTTAGCTCGGTTTTGAGCGTGTTGTTTTTCGCGTTGTCAGCTCGCAGATATCGACGAAAAAGCAACCAACAAAAATAAAAGGGGCCAACAACAATTTCTGCTACGTTTTGCGTGCCAAAAACGACAACAAATTTTAACCAACTCTTTCACTGCGTTTTATTGCTGTTGTTGTGGTCGCTGCAATTGCTGTGTGCGTATGTGTGTGCTTGTATTTGTGTTTGTGTTTGTAGCTGCTGCTGCTTGTATTTTTTTTTAGCTTTTTTTTGTATAGGAACCAGTTTCACATTACGAAGGCTTTTGTTGTTGTTTTTGTTGCTGGCAGCTTTTCAGTTCTCTTTTTCGAGTTCGACTCAGCACAGCTTTCGGTGTCCGTGGCTGTGTCTGTGTGCGTGTGTATATATATGTATATGTATTTTGAGGTTAGGGAGCGCGCGCAGGCGCAGCCTGTTTAAAAGCTAAATGCAATTGCTTTAACAGTTGTTTTTGCTGATATTCCTTTTGTTGTTTTGGGCCATCTCACTGCTCTCACACACACATATACAGCTGCAGCTGCACTTTATTTTATTTATTTTTATTTTGTTGTCCCTGTCTCACCAATTAGCAATGGAATCACTATATTTTTTTTTCGTTTTATTTCACTTTGCTGCTGCTGCTTCTTCTTCTTCTTCTATTTGCTAAACAAGAGCTTCGCAGTGGCTTAACTCCACTCTCTATTTGCGTGTTATTTTATGGCCAAGTATTATATTCGATTAGCACTAAATTAGCGGCAAGTCGCGACAGAGAGAGAGAGACAGAGCGAGAGGGCAACCGAGATACGATCTGCAACGTTTGTCGAGTGAAGCGTTCGTCGCCTGGATTTGTGGGCAATTCGCGTCTGCGCAGCGTCACGTTAAAGTCGAAACTGAAGCCGAAACCGACATCGCGATATGCACAGCGCAGAGCGAACACCAACTTACACACACATACACGTACTCATGCACACCAATACACCAACACACATGCACAGTCATCTGAGCTCACGGCGAGTTAGGTAAAGAGCGTACGTCTATAAAAGACAACAGGTAAACGGCGTTGGTAAAAGGTGAGCGGCGAAGATCTCTTAGCGCAGATCAAGCCAACAAACAACATACAAAACTAAAGCAAAGCAAAGCAACTGCCTGTTGCTGCTTGTGCAGCTGCTCAATAGATTCGTACGCACAGAGAGCAAAAGAGGGAGAGAGACAGTTGAACTGGAAGGCGACATAGGGGTCTCTGTATGCATGTAGAGCTAGTGCAGGCGCAGGTAAAACCAAAATGCTATGTAAGGCACTTATAATTTTTTCTCATTTCGAAAAGTCAGCCAAGTAATATGAAACTATGAGAATTTCGATTCGCTCCACAATTGCAATAGAATACCCTACACTTAAGAAAGTTAAAATGATACCAAATCGAATGAAATGTAACCGAAGATTGTGTTCGGTTATGATTAAATAATCATATGAAATCATTGATTATAAAATATATATAAGTTATATATAGGATTATATAGAATATAACAGTTATATAATACATATTTTATATTTTAATGGGGTATTCAATTATGTTAAATAATTATGTAATTTATACTACATGCAGTACAGTAATATTCCCTGCCAAACCTTATCAAATACATATTTAAATAGTTCTATCTAGCAAGCTAAGCCTTTCGCTTATCAATAACTGTTTAATCCTAAGCCCCTCTTAACTTCTGTTGACAGCTGTTGCCTGTGTATGTGTGTGTGTATGTGTGCGTTGCAGCGGCTTCACAAATTCGTTGCGAACATAACCAAAACACAGGTAAGTTGAGATATTGTGTATGTACCGAAATTCGTAGCTGTTGTTGTTCTTCTTCTTCTCCTCGAACGCTTGCGGCGAATTGGCGGCGAAGCATTTAAGCAGTTGTTGTGGCAGCCGTACGCTGACGCTCAGGTAAGCGATCTCTCTCTCGATCTCACTCTCTTTGAATGCCTGTGTGTGTGCGCGTGTGTGAGTGTGAAGAGAAGTAGTTGGCTTGCACAAATGCTGCCTTATAAGCACTCAAGTTCGCTGCTTGCCCATGTGTGTATGTGTGTCTGTGTATGTGTGTGTGGCTGATCTGTGTGGGCATCGAATCTACGGCGCTTTGGCTTTTGTCTTTTGGCCAAAAGATTTGTAGAAGCGCTGTCAACATTGTGTTTTGGCAGATTTCTGATGTGGCCTGAACAAAAAAAAAAAAAAAAAACAGCAACTATTCTCTCACCTGTTGCCGCTGCCCACAGCGTATGCTGCTGCACCGTTTCGGGGTATTCACGCAGGACTCGGCAGGCAGGCAGGTAAAATCAGGCGCATACTACTTCAAACGCACAATGTCGAGCAGGCGGGCCATAAACCATAAATATTATACGCCAGGATTGCCTAGACAAAAGATGTGGCACGAAAAGCGCAACAGCCGCAGCTGCAGCTCGCAGCGACAGAGCACAGCATCTTGCAGCTCTTACAAATGCCGAGTCCCACGCTGCGAGCTCAAGAGGCGTTGCTTTGTCTTGCAACTCGAAAGTCTTCTTCGACATTGTTTTTACTAATCTGTATATATGTGTATATGCATACATATATTTGTATATATGTATATATTTTTTCGTTTCTCTATACATTTGAAATTTGAAAATCGTTTTATAAAGTTTTGTGGCACACGAGCCGAAGCGCCTCTTGAGTCGCCTGCGTCGCTCGTTCGTGTAGATCTCGATCTGCTTTTCGCTTGAAATTGATGTCTGTAATCAAACATATTAATAGCTGTCTATGCACCACTATCAGACCTCAATCACAACCCGTTCCACAATACCCCAGCAGCCACAAAGCTGAAGAAGAGGCAACAGCAGTGAAGAAGAAAAATGAGACAGAGTTCAGCTGTCAAAAATCGAAGAGGAACATGCAACTGACAAGAACTCCAGAGAAACCACTTGAGGGCACTCCATGGCCATAGCCATATAGCCAAACAGCCATACAGCCATACAGCATCCCCACTCCAGGGCCAAACACTCCATGATGAGAGTCAGACAACAGGTAAACGAAGGTGTAAGAAATTGGTTACAAACATTTTCCATGAAGCGTACAAAATGCCAGTGAAAATCTCCGTTCCGCACCCTCTATCAAACAAAAAAGCAAGAAAGAAAGCCTCTGACGACCCTTGAGACACTGCTCTAGACTCCTGCTGCTCCTCATGATCAGCGGCAGTCTCATGCTCTCAGTCTCTCAGGCGCTCAGGCTCATCCTCATCATTGCCGTCAACGATGCAATCGATGCAGATGACTTTGCGCCTGACTGCGGCTAAAACGCTGTCGGATTAAATAGTAACAAAAGGTTTCCAGCTCGCCTGCTCGCTCACTCGTTCGAGTGTTCGAGTGTTTCGCTTAGCTGATCCTAAGTCGGGTAGCTCTTCTTTCTTCTTCTCTTGTTTCCATCGGCAGCACCCACTGAGCGCCGTTCTCTCAAGTGTCCGGAACGAAAGTGTGAGGCGTTTCGCACATTTGACAGCTGAATAGGAACAACAGCAAGCGGCCAAAACGAAATCTGGCGCCGGTGCCAAGTTGTTGCCATAGAAACCTTAGACTAACAACTTTGCAACAATCTTAGTTACACTATTAAAACGCTTGATGCAACAAATGTATCTACCTGATTCTGAGCGGGCGTCTGTATACAATTCTTACTGGATGTTGGACATTTCTTTGAATGGGGATTTATGAATTTTCAAGCAAATCTGCAAAAGTTATTTGAAATAAGTTCAACCTCAAATCAAACCACTTCTGATTGTCTTTAGATAACCAAACTTAATAGCTCCAAACTTAGGCTAGACATAAGAGATATAACAAAAAATATAGCAAAAGATATGTAAAATAGATATATATCAAAATATGTTCAACAATCATAGCATATCATAATAAAAGTAGAAGTATTGACATGCAAATTTCTTAATGTAGATAATTAAGAATCTATATAAAAGAATCTATTATAGCTGAAAAACTAAATACTTAATTACAATTCTTAAGTTCTTCAAGAGTTAATTAATACGAAATATATACAGCCCAGAACAAGTTTAAATTATGTAGAAAAATCGAAGTTAACTGAGACTGCTATTAATAGTGACCATTTGTAAATGGAATTTAACTGATTTAACTAAAAAATGTTTCTTGAACTTATATATTTTTAAATTTATATAACTTCTAGTTTTAGATCATTTTTATAGACAAATTCCATTACATATGTATGAATAATTGAAGCACGCGCTAAGCTCCACACACTAATTGGATTGTCAGCCCTTTGGCACGTTGCTCAGTCGCAGTTACAGTCCATCCTCCTCTCCTCAACTGCTTTGCCCTAGCACCTGTACCTTTTATAGGTATTTCGAATAGATCGATCAAGAAATTGCTACATCAGCATCAGCTGTCACACGTTTCGTATCTATTTCGGTTGGCTGCTAAATCCGCTTAGAATTAAAGCTAATTGCCAGGGCTTTCAATCATGATGCGGCATATTTGATTTAAGAATCTGTCATTGTTCTTCATCAGCTTGTTCTCGTGTTTCGCTTTTAACCAGCTAAAGCCCAATAGTTGGGCAGTTTATAATCGTGGCGTTGCCTTTAACCCCGCCATGCAAATATCACGCTTCATTTGTTGTTGCTGACACTGATGAGGCTCCGATATTTGTTTTTTGCTTTTTTTCGACTTGGTCTTCAACTTCAGCTCAGTTCGGCCTCAGCTTCAGCTTCAGCTTCCACTCAAATTCACATTTAACTGCCAGTTCGCATAAGTATTTTTCTTTTATTTTGTACATTTTATTGGTTGTCGCCATCAGCCAGCGTTGATACCCTGCGACATGTGAATGGAGCGAGTCTATTAGCTGCATTCGACTTGAATGTAATTGTTATTGAATATAGAAATATACATAAACAGCTGCATAGCTCTATTATATATATATTTGAAATATGCCATTCCTACCAAGATAGTCAGGAATTCATATAATTTGCATTAATTTCCCCATCAAGAAAGTTAAGTATTTTTCACATGTAAGAGTCGCATCAAATATATATGTAGCTATATCAATTCCTAAATGTTATCTATAATCTATACATACTTTTACATGTGCCTATATACATATCTAACCATTATAAGCTACAATCAAAGCTTCCCAAAGTTCTCACATAAAATCTTTAAGCTCTTGCCACAGGGCATATTTGAGTCGAAACCCTAATTACAACTGCATTAGCATTCCTGCTTGTTTCTCTTGCTGTTCTTGTTGTTGTTATTGCTTATGTATATCGTCGCACGACTCACGTTTCAGTTCAAGATTCAAAAACGTCTGCGGCTCTGTTAATGTTGTTGTTGTTGCTGTCCTTGTCGTTTACGCTTCGAGCTTATGCTTTGAGCGCGTGTGTGTGTGTGTGTGTGTGTGTGTGCTTTTTCGCGTTTGCCGCTGCTTGTTGTTGTTGTCTGGGCTTTTTTTAATGTCTTTGTAAACATAATTGCAACAACTCCAATAACAGATTGTTTGCCCGGCTTTAATCGCTTCGTCGTGAAGTGTGAAATATGAGCGACCGCCGCTAGCCGAACCCACCCGAAGAGAAGAGCGACGGCAAGCCGAAGAGACGACAAGGCATGCGAAGCTAAGGCATGGCAAGACAAGGCAAGGCAAGGCAAGGCAAGGCGAGGTGCGGCGAATCTCTGGGGAGCTTTTTACTTTTGCGCCGAAGACGAAGGCGCGATGGCGATGCTTTTTTTGTTGTGCACTGGACAGTATGCTGGAATATATTTTTGGTGGGCGGACGATCGGTCGGTGGGGCGTGTGTGTGGCAAAATATCAGAGACTCATTTTTGGTTTAAAAATACACACAAAATTTGTTGATATTT